AAAAAAAAAAAAAAAAGTGTGCTAAGATACAGTAGTTGCATGAAGTTAGAGATAAAGTTTTATAGATGGACTTAAAATTCGATAATTTCATGGACATATCATCAACACCATCATCATCACCATCGTCCTAAGGATACACTTCACTCAAAAGCTTTATGGCGACCAAAGCACTGAATTTTTTTTAGCACTGCAAAATTAGATAACCAAAAAGCATGTTTGAAAATGAAAAAAAAAAAGTGTAAAAAGTGAAATAAAAAATGATGAGAGAATCAATTTTAGTTTCAGAAACTTCCATATTTTCAATGTTTCCTAAAGAACTGGCTCTTGAACAGCTAACTATTTTGTTTTTGGAATTCTCATTCAAAGTTTTAATCTTTCAACCTTAATATTATGAAGCGGAAAGCACTAAGAGAACAGCTGAATAAATGAAAAAAGTTTTCGAGTTGAAAAGACATCAAACCGTTAAGATTCAAAGATCAATGGAAAAGTAGGGAGGAATGAGGCGTAGGGGGAAACGAGGAAAAAGAAGGGACTGAATTTAAAATTGTTCTTTGCGGTAGGCGTTTGGTAGAATAAAAACAAGAACAAAGGACAGACACCCAATGGAATTGCTGGAAAGTTGAGTGAATTAAAAAAGAAGGAACAAAAATCTAATTGTAACCTGATGACAGACGGAAGCTACAGTTGTTGAAATATGCAACAATTGTCTGGATACTTAGAGCGACTCTGTTGTTATAATTCAGTAAACTATAGAACTTGTTTCAGCTATCCTATAAAACCAAATAGAAAATGGCTAGCGGAAATATAACTAAGCAATAAAATCTGTTACGCTTTTATTTTCCTTCTTGCTTTTCATTTTTTTTTTCCTTCTTGTCGAATTATTAATGAATCCATCAATTAGGAGGAAAAAAAGACTTTTTACTTTAGCAGTGTTTTAATTACTTCTTTTGTAATTTTTACCATCATTATCATCATTGATTTATGAGATTTGGCACTAAATTAACTGTTTTAAGTGCCGTTAAGTAAGATTAATATATTAAAAAAATTTTAAAACTTTAATAAGCTAAAACATCTGCTTTTCTACTCCTTTAGTTTCTTTTTCTTTAAAGCAAAATTAACTTCATTTTTTTTTTCTTTTTGTTAGCGACATTACTTTTTCTGATTATAAGCCATCGGTCTACCCGTCCGTCTGTCCGTCCGTCCGTCCGTCCGTCCGTCCGTCC